TGAAACGTTTAGGATCCGTCATCATGAGCTGATTGGCCTGGCTGAAGCTGAGCTGTACTGGGTAGTAGCCTCCGTTGTACGGGTTGTGAAGCGACGTCTGGTCTGAACCCAAATCCACCAGCAGCTCCCCCGTCCTCTCGTACTCCAACAGCAGCCTCTCCCTGGATGGAAAGTAAGGAAGAGTAGGACAAAGATGTCAAGAGAGTGGAAAAGAGGTGTCTGTGTCTCTGTATCTGCAGACCTGGGTCATAAACTCACCACAAGTCCACAATGTTGCCATGGAAACCCATACTGAGAGGAGTCTTGGAGCTCTTGGCCTCCCTGAAAAACAAAAACAAATCAATGTGTGATTACGTTATCCGAGACAGGTTTACCTATGGGAAGCATCTTTCTGTCTTTTCTGTGGATACGAGCTTTGCTATCATGATACACATCTAACAGGAGACAGCCTAGGTCGCAGTGAAGGTGTGTTTATTTATTCAAGTTTCTGTCAAAATGTTAGGAGCTAGTACTACACCTGAGAACGTTCATTTCAACAGGGAATTATTGCAACTTTTACTCAACGAGACAGACACGTCACATTGCTTACAAATCATATGCTGGCACAAAAAAACATCAACAGCTGTATGGTTTAAATAACTTAAAGTACAAAAAGTTGTAATAATACCATAATAAGTACCACAAAAAGAAAGAAATTAAGGACATTTTGGGGAATATGCTTGTTTGCTATTTATCCAAGAATTAGAAGAGAAGATTATCTCTATCTTGTAATATAAGGCTACTGGCATGGTTGGTTATCTGAGCTCAGTGATATTGATATTCTCAGTACCTCCCAACATTTTGAATTATTTTGTAATAATCTAACATCTAAGATTACAACACTTTTTCTACATTGTTTTTTCTTTTTTTGTATAGTGTGGTATTGCCACTCTTACTTAAGAATATGATGTGAACACATACTCCAGCTCTGCAACATGGGGATTTTAATCTCATTGATGTACAAAGAAACACACACACGTTCCAAGTGTGTCATATGGATTTAAAAGTGAAATTGAATGCAGCAAGGATTTTAAATAGTGATTTACACAGCTATAACCACTTTTCTTTGTGTTACCTGATGCGTTTAATGCAGTGGTCCATGCTGCTGGTGACCTCCATCAGCCAGCCCTGCTCATGTCTCTTTCTCAGCGGAGCCTCATCCACCTACATAGAAATCAAATTCATTTTAACATACAGGACTTTCTTCATTTTTTCTGCCTCAGTCAGCAGTGAGTATAGAGTGCCACTGTGACGCGTCCTAAAACCCGGAAGTAAGCTGCGCATGGGTTCCTTCGACAAAAAAGCAATGCAATTTCTCCATAGGATTTTGGAAAATAGCTCGAAATAAGGTCTGTTTTTGACACACATTTAAGAGACGGATCACGTTTTGTTCAGTCGGATAATCTCCACATGTCTACCCTACTTTTATAATTTTCGAATCATAAATCTAATCGATAGAATAGATTTATGATCGATAGATGGCACTCTATTAAGAAGAAATGAAACTGAACCAGCTGACCTCTGCGATCACGCCAATGCAACCGGCAATGACGGCAGCTTTAGCCTGAGCTCCACTCATGCCCCCCAGGCCAGAGGTCACAAAGACGCGCCCGCTCATATCATCAGAGCCCAGGTACCTCCGGCCAGCATTTAGCACTGTCAGCTGCACAGAAAAACATCAGGAAACAGATACAAAATCAGGAACAACAACACTACTTCTACAACACATTACATGTTATGACTTCAAGCTGTGGTCTAAAATGACAAATCATTTGTGTGGAAGATGCTTTTGTTTTGATTTGTTTCATCTTATTAAACGTATCCAATCTAACACCCTCTTCAGGAGTTTCTGGCCCTCAGGTTTTCTAACCACTTATCAAAAATGTACCTTTATTTTGCATATGGAAATACAGGAGTGTAAAATAAATCACAAACCATAGTGCCATGAACAATCCCTTGAGGTCCAATGTAGCAGTAGCTGCCTGCTGTCATCTGGCCATACCTGAAAATGAATAAACAAAATAAACACAAATAACATCAAGGCATCTGTACCCACATCAGAGGTTTGATAAAGCATCATCCTCTTCCTGCAATGCAACAACTTACATTGATACACCGAGGGCAAACATCTTTTCATACTGATTTCTGGAGGAGTAGTTTGGAATAACCTGAGTGATGCAAAATAGGAACAATTGATTTGAGTGAGTTACAGTACAAAGGTGTGCATGTATGCTGAATGTTTGTGAAGTGTGTTGGGCAGCTACCATGCCGTTGGTGATGATGGCGCGAGGTGATGAAGGCAGGCTGGGGAACAGGCCCATGGGATGACCGCTGTACATCACCAGAGTTTGTTCCTCTGTCATCTCGCTCAGGTAGTGCATCACCAGGCAAAACTGAACCCAGGCACAATGAAATTATTATTACGAACCTATTTACACTCTTTATTACCCAATCCACTGCATGAACACAAAATAACTCACCTGGGCCCAGTTACTGAACACCTGTCCATTCCCTCCGTAGGTGACGAGCTCCTGGGGAAACTGAAAGATAAAGAAGAGTTAACCACAGGCGAGATAAACGGTTTAAAAAACGACTGGCCATGCTTAATTCCAAAGTTACTACGAGCTGTGCGAGAGGCTCACCTGAGCAACGTCTGGGTCCAGGTTGTTCATGATCATTAGCATGATGGAGGCAGCTTGGCGTGTGCGGCACGGGTACTGATCTATGGGGTAAGCTCTGAGGAGACAGAGGGACACTCACATCACTGTGGTGGGGGGAACTAAGAGAAAATATCCTACTATCATGCTTAGTATAATTTCATACTATTGAACTTTTGCTCAACAGAAGCCACTGTGGACACAGGATTAAGTTACAGGATGACACATTGATGTATATTTATCTCTGGTGAGCTACAGTGTGTTATACTTTGTAGATGAACCATTGAAATGTTTATCTAAAGTCCTGAGGTCAGTAGAAATCTAGATAACTGGCATTGTGGTGGTTATACATCAATGTCTTTCTCAAGTTAACTTACAATAGCCATCATTTGTATACATCTTATGCAGCAGATTGTCATAAAAGTGACAGATATATCAGCAGTGAAAGTGTCGGCCCATATGGCAGAAACATCAGTACAAGTGTCTTAGTTTTGGTCTATTTATATTTGATTCATATTTGATTGAATTATTTTACCGCTGTGATCTCTGAAGGTTTACAGTTAATCTGGAAAATACTCTGCTTTATGATTATAATTTGAAGGACTTTAGTCAACAAACGAATATAAATTGCATAAAAAGGAATACCAACCAATACAAAAGACATTATGACATCTCAAATATCAATTATGGATATTTGCTCAGGTTTCCTCACCTCATGCGTAATGTGGGGCAGAAGCGGTACATGTAGATGTGCCCGTACTGCCGCAGCTCTTGAGCAAATTCAGGTGCAAGTGTTGCATGGTGGCAAGGAGGGAAGTAACGCAAGGCATTTCTCAGCGCCAACTAGAGGAACATGGGACATTTGCAATGGGTTAATGAACACATACTGTATTTATAGATTGATGGAAGAGTAGTTGTTTTACATTTTTAGGATAACGGGCAGGAGCTCTCTTTTAATCATTGACTGAACCTTTGCTCTGAGATTGGGCAATCCTTTGAGGACCCGAGAGAATAATCCATTTTTTTGGGACGGCTCACGAGACAACAATGGTGATGCAACAAGTCAGAGTACACAGCATGGTATTATGTCAATTTTGTCCTCACATTCAACACATTTAAAGTCAAACAATTGTCTGACATGACACTTATTATTACATCTCTCATTGTTACGTGATCGTGTCTAATAGTAGTCCACTTCTTCCATTTGATAATCGTGACAGCAGCCAAGCAGGCCCATGTACGGTGCTTTCCATTATAAATATATCTTAATTTGAGAGTTTTATTCACAGAAAGTATTTTTACTCAGTGTAAAAGCACAGGAATACCTTCATTTCATTCAGCTGTGCATGTCAAATCCTTCGTAAACAAATCATATTATAATTGTATTTGAGAGGGCTACATGTCTCTGGAATACTTATTTATAAATGATTGAGAGACGAATTGACTCACCCGCTCCTCCTCTGCTGTAAGGTTGGGGGTCCGGATGGGTGCGTGCGGCACATTGGGGTCTCTTCCCCGGTTGGGTGGCAGTGGGTCCAGGGGTAAACCGCTGCATATTTCCTTTAAAGAAGACATCCTGGAGAGGATTTTCTGTCACACACGCGAGCAGACGACGATGAAGGCAGCTCTCACCCTCTCTGCAAACCGTCCTCTGTGGAGAGAAAAACTTTGAGGGCGATGACCTTCCCCTTATTGTCTCATTGGCTTTTTGGTCGTCTTTCCCCTCCGCAATCCACCAATGGTACGCCGGTGTTTGGTAATTATTGATCATGATGGGAGTTTTTAGCAGGACATGCTTCAGTTGACAAACACTGCATCTGACCTCTGAAGCTTGACCTAACCATATCACATGGAAGAATACATGTACAGCTACATTTGATACTTTTGACGAGGTCCAGTTTTTGCAGACTAATTATGTGATTGTGAAGACAATGTGTATTGAATTCTAATTCTGTATCCTCCCAAAAAGTATAACCTACTCTTGTAAAGGTTGAATAACTCTGTGAATTACTATTGAAGATTTGAATCAGAATAGGAAAGGTAAGAAATCCAATCACAGGTTATTGTTCAATTGATGTGAATTGTGTAATTTGGTTGAATTAATTGAATCCAGATACATTCAAAGGAAGTAATGTTATTGGAGCAAAGAGTTTTTTCCCAAAGTTGCCCTCTGCTATAGAAACTCAGTTCACACATTTGCTCTTCTTGACAGCGTACACTTGCAATATGGTGAGTCAGCACAGTACAAAGATATTATTGCAATGTCATGCATGGGAGATGGAAGAAGTAAACCACAAAAATAACAAATATTATAAAGGATAATTTATTATATAAAATGTCATCAATATTCCCTTCAAGTGACACTAGTCAGACCTGTGTTTGAAATTAATGGTTCACTTTAGTTCAGCTGAGGTAAAGTTATATAACTGGATATACACCACAGATAGCAATCAAGACTGCTCAGTCGAAATTGTGAGGTTGTCTTCAGTAGCAACTTTATCCGTATAATCACTATTATAAACTTTGAGTCAAACATATGAAATAACACGTGTACATACATCATAGGAATCTCTGCAACTAAGAATTACTCAGCTGGTTAATTTCTCAATTAAACATTTGGTCTGTAAAATGTCAGATGGGAAAAATGTCGATCGCTTTTGTCAAAGTTGAAAGTTATGTTTTTCAAATGTCTTGTCGGTCCATAACCTTAAAATATGCAGTTACATTTGATACACACTAAAGAAAAGCAGGAATTCTCCATTTTTGAAAGGCTGAAAGCTTTTTCTACCATCTTTGCATTCAAAATGAGTTTAACAGCTGATCGACTATCAATTAGTGGAGTTTCTCTGAATTAACTTAGTGCTGCAGCTCCAAGAGACAAAGAAAAGGACATAATATACAGAGTGTGTCGTGCTAAATAAACGTGGTACTCTAGGTTCTTCATTGAATTACATATTTTGTTTATCTTGTATTGCCAAAGGCAGGATTTCCCATCCTTAATTTAAACACTCAAGATAGTTGTTGCATTGATAACATAGTTTCACACAAGTATACTGTAAGCCCATCTTATTCATAAATACATTGTTTAGTTCAACTGAAAATAGAGGTCATGATCGTTTTTCACATATTTACTATATAACCCGGATGTCCTCTGTTCCTCTGTAAGTAAAAGTCCAAAACCAAAAGGAAGAGCTTATATATTCTAAATATAATATAATTGAATGTAGTTTACGTGTTTGGTTTCACAATAGCAGACCCTATACGTTTTGGAATATTTAACCTTTCCATCATTGGATGAAGACCTTTTTTGCATAGAGATATTTAAATCGCATCATGTTGAACCATGTTTTCATAAAGCAGTAGCCATTGAATAACAACCCACATCATCTTCCCTGCTAAAGTCTTCTTCTTATCTAACCTGCCAACATGAAAGAACATTTTTCCTGTACCATAGCTTGTTGAACTAGTGACTAAACAAACATTCAACAGGGAAACGTGCACTGCTATCGTGAGTTTCCATGTGAAATAGAGAAAGTAGCTCATCAGCTGCAGCAACTTAAACATAATGTTAACTCACGTACAGGCATCACTTCGCTCAGTTTAGATTCTTGGGTTGATTTACTTTTCAATCCCAACAACGCACTTTCTCCAAATGACTTGTAAATGGCAGAACAGGCTTGTTAACTATGTGACTCGTTCCCCTGCAGGCCACTCAGCCTGCAGTCTGCTGTTAAAGAAACAGTGATCAGCATAATGAGCATTTTGGATACACCCTCAAAAGGTTTTTGCTTCATTTAAAAAATAATTTCAACAGTAAATGTTAAAAAAACACTATGTTATTTATGAATGCAACAAGCAATGACTTAATGTGATTTCAGTCCGATTCTTGAGCCTTGGCTTTACATTGTAACCAGGGCTCATCACTAGCTTTCCCCTGAGCCCTTTGTGTTGGGTGGCATACTATCAGAGTCCGGCTCGGTGGCAGATGTTGAGTCGGCACCTGGGGTTTCTGCAGATGCAGAATCTTGTGAGGTCGGCTCCGTTTCTGATGATTGTTCTTTTTGCACCTTGTCATCTTCTTGTGGATAGAGCTCGGGGTAACGCTGTATACACTCCTGCATGGCCCTGAAGTGCTCCAGGCATTCAGATCCCTTCACCTCCTCCTTACTGTAGTGGAAACAGGAGAAGGCGTCTTTAAATTCAGTCCCACAGGGTCCGCTGGCCATCCCACCCAGACAGGGGCAGTTCCAGTTGATCTCCCCACTGGGAAGAATCAGCCCTAGGATGAGAAAAGAGGTTAATGCACAGGTCATTTAAAAGTAGATTTTATCCCCACACCTGAGCTTTAGTAAAAAGTGGCAATTTCACTGCTCCTCACCTCGCTCCTCATAAGGGTCATCAGGGTCTTCCTCTACCAGCTCAGCACTGCTGGGTGTCGCATGATCCTCTTTGGTGACAAAGATAATTCGGTCCTTACCTGTGGTGTTACATTTGGAAGGACGACAAAAACAAATGCATTGATAAGTACTGTGGCATCGAATCAAAACTAAAGGCAGGCTATAGGACTATATAAAGGCTCTTCATCATTTATATTCTGAGACTAACTAAGTAAACACGGTTAAAACGGTAAAAAAGCTTCAGCAGTTGCAGTCACAATTTTAACTTCATGTTTACAAGAGCCTATCAGTGAAATCATTCATATATCTTTTATTTATTTGATATAGGTATAAGATTGTGACATGCATGTCGGCTGATCATTTTAAAATGGTTAAAATGGTTTGGACATTGACATTACATAGTTGTCCATTTTACCGAGTTATTTTCCGCTAACACCAAAACCATGTTGTTACATGAAAACAAAACAAGAACAATCATTAAGTGACCGCACTCAAGGTGACTTTCTATTAAAATATGGCACTATAAGAACACTAACAATCCTGTACACTCAGGATTGTTAACAGGTAAAGATGTAACAGTCCTGAATCTCATCGTACCAACAGGATGTTTGTACAAATGTAAGAAAAAAAGAACATTAATTTTCATTCAAACTCAAATCAACTTAAGGGTTAGCTTCCCAGTGGAGTTAGTCGGCTAGCACAGCATGTTACCTTCATCTCTGACCGAGCTCATGTCTGCACACCGGGTTGGTTTGAATTCCTCTTTTTGATTGACAGCAACAACTCAGAGGACGACAACTGATACTGAGACACGACACAACCGGACACAACACATGGAGAGGGGAAGGATGTAGTGCAGCATCAGCTAGCTTGTTGCTTGTTTCACAACTACCCTTCATGAGCGTGGCCGTGGATCAGTCTTCTTCTCCGTTTCTATTTCCGGTAGAGCAGAGGCTGTTGAGCACATTGCCGCCGCCACCAGGTCAAAGCAACACATACACACAGATGTATTTATATATACACTAAATAATGCGTTTAAGAACATTAGACATGTTTTAATATGCACGATTAGAGTTATTTACATCTTATTTATCGGTCAAAATACATTACATTTCTGACAAGACTTCATTCAGGTAAAAGTGTAATATCCAGAGGAGATTCACCTTCTATGCTATTTGTCACCATTTTTTTAATAATGTAAACTAGGCACCTACATTTTAAATAAATGCACCTATAACTATCACAGTTATGTACTGTATGTAAATCACTATATATGGATCAAAATGTTCACTACAGTCGCATTTATAGTATCTTTCAGGTTACTTTTCGTATTAAACAAACCATGTGCTAATGAATATTTTGGTGGAACAAAAAGAGACAAGAGACTAGACCTTTCTCCACAAAAAGGTTTTATTGAGAATGTTTTTCTATAAGTTTGTTCTGAAATGCATTATCTTTTTTTTTTACATATTCAAAAGACTTTATCTTACATTTAAGACAAATTCAAAATCATTCAATGCGTGGCCTATATACAGAAAGTCATAGTATTTCTCAGGTGTGGAAAAGCAATTGATGCAAGTGTGCTGAAAGCAGACAATTAAAAAACAAAACAAAATTGCAAAAGTGGGAGCCAAAAATGAATATGACATGTGAGTTAATACTGCAGCTCCCTGGGAATGCCATACATTAAAACAGCGACAGGCGGACCCCAATGTGAGCTCCACATCCTCCTCTTACAAGACCCTGTTCCAATAAAAGCTATAACACAGGGTCACTAATCAGGAAAACGACAGTACTTGACTCAGCGCTTGACAGTTCAGCTTCCGTTCCACACCTTCACATAATTGGCAGGTTGAGGGAAAAATAAAATAAAGCTGAAAGTAGAAGTATTAACTAAGATAACACCAAACAGAACATCAGGTGCATTTTTCGGAACACAGCAGTCAGTTGCCCTCAATCATCCGGTCGAGTATGCCGGCATACTGAAGCGTTCTGTTGTCAGTCTGAAAAAAAGGACCAAACTCCCGCAGGACTTCATCTCTTACACAAAGGAAGCCTTTAAAATGAATCTCGGGGAGGTATAATGTAGAGTCAGTTAGAAAATTGGATGAAATATAACTAAAATGTCGGTCTTTGTGTTACTTTGGAAGATACCAGGTAGGGGCAACAAGCTGTGTAGCTCCCCCCACCTCCCAAGGTCCCATTTCAGATGAGATTCCTGAAGATTCCTCGAACATCCTGAAAGTGGAGAGCTGACGATGCAGGAGCTTCACATAGATGTAAAAAAAATGCAAAGTTGGTGATCCTAATAAACGTTGGTAGAAGGTGGGATGAGATTGGCCTTTTCTAGAACAGCAGAGCCCCCATGCTGCCTACTTCGCTCTGTTCTTTCACAAAGATCTCAAAGTACTGATAGATGATGGTGACGGCCAGCAGGATACCGGTGCCAGAGCCAATGGCTCCGAGGAAGTCGGCCATTACTGATAGACCTCCGATACACAGTCCACCAAAGGCAGCTGCTGTAGGAATGTACCTAGAAAACAAAAACAGGAATATTTAGATCAATATCAATACTGAGAATTTCACATGACTGTGTTTCTGCAGAAACCCTTAAAAGCAGTTTTTATTAAAATACTTTCCTCATGATCGTTTAAAAAGGGATGAATGTAATAGTTCAACAAATACACATTGCTTTCTTTCCACTGGTCACAAGGCTCAAGTCTTCAGATAAATATACAAGAACAGTAATGTATCTTTGCTGAGCATTAAGAGCCCCAAGGAGTCAGCTAGTAGAATCAATGTTTTGGCAATATTTCTAAATTGTTGAACTATTCCTTTAAGCATTGCATATTTCCAATGCATGACTAATTAGGAAGACAACTGAAGAAAACTTTATTTCATTTCTACCGTCTATTCTTTACCTCATGAACTAAAAGCAAACTAAAGTATATATATATATATCTTGTACGTTCTTAGTTTTAAGGTGTGAGGTTCATGTGAAAAAATACATTTGGAAACAGGAGGACTAATACCCTTTGATTAAAATCAATAGTAATAATAAATGATTAATCTTTTTCGCTTTTTATTGTAATATCTTTGGATTTATTTCTGCATTACCTTCCTATCTTACATGTCCTTGTCTTTTATGACACATATTTTTGGCACCACTTGAGTCTAAGACTGTCCGAAGAAGATCTACATACAGTATATATAAAATCAAAAAATATTGACGTGACAATGTGTTGCTTGATTACAAGATGAGTTATTTGCTCGTCAGAGGCAGAAAGATGAAATCATGTAAATGTATGAATAACACTTATTGCCATTATAACTGATAAACGTGTAAATGTATGGATTGTGGTTTTCATTTTACCTGTTCAGCTCGTGGACCATTGAGGTTTCTCTGTGTCCCCTCATCACCATCTGCTGCTCCTTCAGCTGTTTCGCCACCTGGATTCAAGTAAAGAAAAGAGCTTTAAAACAAAGTCTGTTTGATGTAAATACCCGAGACCACCTGCCTGAAAGTGTTTACCACTTACATCTTTAGCGGAGGAGCCAGAGACTTCAATCCAGGTCTTGGAGAAAAAGGCACATGATCCGAGCATGAAGACGATGTAGATGCCAGCGTGGACCGGGTCATCGAGAACATTACCAAACGACTCCGGCGGAGAGAGGTAGTAACAGAGTCCGGCTACAGGGTAGGCCCGGGCTGGACCACCTGACGTAGCATCCTACAAACATCAGAAAAATAATACACACTTTAAAAATGGGCAGACAAAAACCACAAAACAAACTATAAAAATAACATTCAGAACATTAGTTTACCAGCAAACGGCTATTTTCTAAGTATATCATGGAGTAATGTCCCCCTGAGCAGAGGAGGCACCATGTCTAATCATATTTTAGTCCTTTTGAGAGACTTCATTCTTGAAATAAAGTTGAACAAACTGAAAAGGAAGGTGTGATTACATGGTATACTTACAGACCAGGTACCGAGCAGATTGACCAGGAAGTTGCCACTGAAGCGTGTGGAAAGCATCTGGGAGATGACATACAGGTTGGAGACGAGGGCGGACTGCAGGATGATGGGGATGTTGGAGGTGTAGAACAGCTTGATGGGGTAGGTGTTGTACTGGCCACGGTAGCGAGCAGACTTGATGGGCAGATCCACTCTGAATCCCTGTGAGAAGAGGAGAATGTGTGAGCAATTCAGCCGTTTACCCTCCATAACTTCATCATCTAGTCTATATGCAATTATTTATTTTCAAGTTCCATGTGGAAGAAGGTTCAGACACTAACCTGAAAGTATATGACTACGGCGAAGACAAACACGGTGGCGATGAGGTTCAAGAGGTTGGGCAGGTTCTGCCTGTAGAAGCCTTCTCTCAAAGCTCGCACTTTGTCTGTACGAGTGGCCAGCAGATGGAACAGGGCAATGATTGCGCCCTCAAACTCCGTACCTAAAAAGAGAAAACATTCACCAGTATGAGGCACAGTTCTGAGGAGTGCAGAAGATTTTTGCAGATATTTACATATCTTTTTATTTCTTACCTCTTCCAGTGTTCACCGTTGTGGGGCTGAAGGCCTTCCACACGATTGTCTCACAGATGTTGGTGGCAATAAACAATGAGATTCCTGAACCGAGACCGTAGCCCTTTTGGAGCAACTCGTCCAGCAGCAGCACGATGAGCCCAGCTACAAACAGCTGAGAACAAAACAGATACAGTCAGCTGAAAGTGCACAGAGGAAGTCATGTGAAAATGTTTTCACTTTGCAATACATTCACATAGCCCTGGAGGAGCTTAGCTGTAGACTGGGTTCGCTTTACTGAAGTTATAAAGTGAGTTTTAAAAAAGTAGCACTTCCAGCTCCACTGGAGCACATTATGCTTTGTGAGTACACTTTATTGAATTAAACACACCTGTTAGTCACGTATTGTTCATTATAAACCATGAACAATGACTATATGAATTGTATTATTTGACATAATTATACGTTCCTGCACGATACTCTGAAATGACCTTAATGCATCTCTTGCACTTAGTAAGATGGCAGTTTAAAACCCTTTAATTGATGCAGGATAATATGTTTGATAATGAATGCCTTAAATGCCATCCTCACTGTAGGAGATTTGTCTTTGATAATATAAAAATAGAAAGGACACTGGGTTCAATTACAAAGTCACAATCCGCTGTGTTCTATTTCATTCATGTTTTATAATTAGTGCATTCTGAAAGGAGGTTTTGATGACAGAATATAGATTTTAGTCTAAGTAACATTATTGGTTATGACACATTTTAGAAAAGTCCTGTTCTTACCTGAATGATGATGAGCAGACAGATTCCTGCGCCCATCTCAGAGGGATCTCCATACATGCCGGTCATCACATACACGATGGCCTGTCCGATGGTGATGATCATTCCAAACACTAAAGAACAATAAGCGGGGGTTAGACAATCTATAGACGTGCATATAAATGCCAACCGTACGTTTATAAATGACCACCCGAGGAGAGTTTACTTACATTTCTGAGCTCCATTGAAGAGCGCTCTGTCCTTTGGTGTGTCTCCGACTTCAATGATCTTAGCTCCAGCCAGCAGCTGCATGATGAGGCCGGAGGTGACGATAGGCGAGATACCGAGCTCCATCAGGGTACCTGGAGAGAGAAATTCAAGTTAGTATAAACCAGTGAGAGAGCAGGCACACACTTATTAGAAATGTCCCAATCAATCGGCCACCAGTCTATCAGTCACATATCTATGGTGAAACTTATTGCCGGTTAATTTACAGCAGCATAATAGTTTTAAATCACACACAGCTTTGTAATAAATGTAAGTATTTAACAGTCAAGGTTTTATTATGAACCGACAATTGAGTTTCAATTTTCAATGAAAGAAGTGTTAAAAAAAATTGTTTAATTCCCAATTAGTCTTTACAAAGGAAACAGAACAAAAAT